CGGTAAAACTCAAACCCACAAAATTGATTAAGCACAAGCCTCAGGAACTGTTTATGACCGAAAACCTCCAAAAAGTACAGCTGCAAACTGAAGTACACAGTTCCCATGATTGGAAGTATAGCTCTCTTGCATACCACCATTTCAAAGAGCTGAACTGAAGGCAGAAAAAGAGTAGATTCTGAGAGTAGTAGATTCTGAGCAACCAATATTAAAATACTTAGTGATACAGAGTTTTATATCTAAAGTGCAGGACCCATGTATGCTTCCAAGCTTCCAGGTCTGGATCCTTAACCTATATCAGAACAAGACCTAAGCATGCAACCTTTTTCTCACCTTCCCGAAGAAATTCAGGAACACAAGATAGAAGCAACCTAGGGCATAATCCATCCATGTCTTGGACAATTGGGGATCTAGAACTACTGGTCACATTGTGAAGTGCCCATGTCCTGGAGGAGACACGAAGCTGTAGCGTGCTAACTCATCCATATCAAGAAGTATAGCTCTGGAAGTTTAGGGATCAGATGGCTCAAATTAAACAGGAGTACACAAGCAGAGGCCATGCAGATTCAGGAACTGAACAAAGTGGACCCCTCCTATGGGCAAGTATTCACACAATTTTCCAGTCTCCTGTTTTTACATCAGCAAGAATCTACTGTCGTATATTTTCTTTTTCTGAAAAATAAACTAAACCTCTACAGTGTGTTTATTTTAATGTTGAGTCAGGAAGTCTTTTAAAAGAGAAGAGAATTAGCAACATAATCTTTTAATACAAAAAAAAGACAACAGACTGTTTTATTTTCTTTCCAAGGTGCCCAAACACACAACAGACAAGAAAAGTTCATGATCAAACTCACATAATTCCATCCAGTTCCAACACCAAAATCCTCTCCTTATGCCCAGGCATCGAATACATGCATGCACACATGCAACACCCTCAGCTAAGCAAGACAGAAGATCCTCTTTATCTTAATTGACAATGATGGTGTACATGGGTTCTACATTTACACACTCAGCAGTTCATCTCCCTGTAGGAAACTTCCTCTAAACATGATCCTGCAAAATCCAGTTCCTCACCTGTTTGCCCTAAGAGCCTTTCTTACACCTCTGCAATAAGGAGCTCATGTTTCACTACTCCCTTAACAACAGCCAGGTCGTTCCTTCCCACTTTTTTAACCATCCAGTTTACACTGAGAACACTCTCAAACAACTGATATTAATACTCCAGACAAAACATAGTACACATTTTATAAGGGGTCTACTATTACAATAAAGTAGTTCTTCTCATTTATCTTTTTAAGATATAAGATCCTACATACAATAGGTAATTTTTTTCTTAACTTCCCAACATAAAAAACAGCTCCTTGTAACCATTGAGAAAACAAAACCAGAACAAATAGAAGGAAGTAGCTTTAACTAATAGAAATTTAGTAGCAAGCAATAAAGTAGGAGACAACAGATTTCAATAGGGTAAACACGCAGTTGGGCAGCAAGAACTAATTTCCAGCATAGGCCTTCCCAACATTTGTTAAAACTTGTCCAAGGACACATTTAACCTACGGTTCAATTTCCATAAATGAAATAAATAACAAAAACCCCACACTCCAAGCTCTACTTGCCTTACAGCCATATTATAGAGCTAATTAATGTTTCTATAATGCTCTCCTATGCAACAAGTACTAACAAAACATGGTGTCTCCAGCCTTGGTGGTATCTTATTACTGCACTTACACAGATTATAACCTATGATAACTATGACTGGAAGACAGTCTTTGTCATGAACCCTTTCATGCACTTCTAACTTTTCAAGGTGTTTACTGCTGTGGTTCAATTTTTCCCACCTTTGTCTTTATCCAAAGATGGATGTTCTGAAAGCTTCAAAAAGGTTGCTTTGGATTGTTAGACATTATTCTCCTAGCACAAAGCAATTCTGAATACTTTTAACACTGAGTACTATGAGTTCATCTTTTCAACTACAATGATGTAGTTCTTCATAACTGAAGTCATACCAAGTTTGAAAAAAAAGTTCTTAAGATAAAATTTAACAATGTAAAACTGAAATAATAGGCACAGAAGGGGGAAAACCCTATATGCCTAAACTGGATACAGTAGGCACTCTCACAGTTTAGAGGAAGACAGAAGCTCACCTTCTAAGGACTGTCGGGCTTCCAAGAGAACATGAATAACTGTAAACACAGCAGGCAGTTCAGCTTCAGACTAAAACTTAGAAAAAGGACTTGAGAAGGCCACTTGCCTCCTCCATACAGATGCTGCCCTCTGACCTGCACAGGAACATTTCAAATACCCCCTGTTGCTGCTATTGAGGGAAAAGCAATGTGGCTGCCACTGCTCCCAGCCAGACCACCACCCGCCTGGGACAGAAGTCACCCGAGGGAATGGCAGCCTCAACCTCATGCGTGAGAAAGTAGAGCTAGCAAACACCACCAAGAGAAAGGGAATGGGAAGCAGCCTGGGCTGCAAGACCATATCTCTTCTCTTCACCCCCTCCTTCTGTGGGTTACAGGCAGGCTTATTCACACAGGTGCAGCAGAGCAGAAACACATGCTGCTTGTTCCAGCCTGGGATTACACCTGAGCTAATAAACCTTGCTGATCAGAGCTGGCTCTCAGCACTCTGGTTCTGGAAGCACAATGCAGACAAATGGAAGCTGGCTCTGGAAAAAGCCAGTGTAGGTCTGGGGTTTATTAGCTCAGGCTTTGCACCATGCAAAAAAATAAAATCTGGCCCTAGAGACCAAATAGCTTATTAAAGTGATACTGAGACTGAGCTAATAAACCCTGACAGATCCAAACTGCCTTTGCATCAAGTCAGCTCAGGTGTTCTGACATCTGTGGTACAATTAATCCACTACTACAATAATCCTCTCAAAAACAACAGAGCTCACTATCTGAATTTAAAAATCACTTCTTTTTACAGAGAACAAAGGGGTTAACTGTTGTTCAGTTATAGGGTTTCTGGTCTTCTGAAAGGAACATCAGCAGCTTCCAGAAAAGGTGATATCTGGCTTTCATGACTGTGAGACTAATCTTCCATAGCTAAATCAAGTCAGTGCTATCTCATGGTTTGCCTAAGTTACAAAACAGACAACTTCAGTACATTCAGTGCTTCCCTTGGCCTGCCAAGAGGGGGGTGAAACTGAGAAGATCCAAGCCAAGTGTATTATACCAGTGCTAGGAGGTATTAGAGTAGCATTAGAGGAGGCAGCAAAAATATTTAATGCTAAAGAAACCCTAATATCAGAGGCACAAAAAGAGAAAGAAAGGTCAAGGAGAAAATCCCCCCCACCTTTCTTTTAACCCTTTCTCTGCTGCTCCATTCCTCCAGTAACTATATGAATGAACCAAGTAATAATGGATTTAAATTAAATTCTATGTAGTTATCCCATAAAAATCCAATTGGTTGACTTGGTCTTTATTGAAGACTCTAAAAGTAAAAACCAGAAAAGACAAAAAAGAGCAAAGAGTTGAATAATAATCAAAAAAATTAAAAAGACAAAACAAAGGACTGAAAGTAAACTACTTAATTTATAAACAAAAATTAAAAAGAATGAAGTTATGTGAAAATAAAAGTTACTACAAGACAGAAGAAGAGCCACAAACAGCTACGTTGTTTGGGTTTTGTTCAAAATAGTGAAAATAAAATTGTTTCACAATAGCATAGCAGTTGAAATAAGTTTTCCATTTTATCTCCCAAAGTTACTGAGAGATTTTTTCACTTTGATTAGTATTTCAGCTACGGTAGTGTTTATTAAGCTCTGCAATTAACCTTAAAATACCACTGTAAGCTGAAGGAAATCACTTCAGCACTAATAAGATGTTAAACAAAAAAGGTGACGAACTTAACACAGCAGCATGTATTATAAGCTGAAAATGTTAATTTAGAAGAGTATCCTAAATACATGTCTAAATTGGTCAAGGAAACTGAAGTTTTGTCTTTAACTACTGTAATAAAGTCTTAGCTTCTTAGCAACATGTCCATGAGGTCAAAGGTACTTGACCTTACTCAGTATTACAAAAGTGATTGCTCTCTATTGTGAAAAATCCCACACAGGGACAAAAACCACCCCCCCCAAAAAAAAAAAAAAAAACAAAACCACACACACACACAAAAAAAACCCCAAACAAGTAAACCAGCATTTGCACCCTGGAAGCATTTACTCCAACTCTCTCAAGGACAGAAGTCTGTCCTGCTGAACTAAAGTGCTAAGGTCTGCCCAATCTCACTGATACCCAGAGTTTCCCAAAGAGGTATGCTATTTCAGTGTTTCCTGACCTCATGGCAACACCACTTTAGTCATTTGCAGTCATTCTGAATCTTGCCTAAATTGCTAGAAATTCTTCCACTTTCTTATTAGAAAGCACAACCTGAGTATCACAGTATTGACTCTATCAGTGTTATTTTATGCATGCATTTTGTGCTTCTGGTTATTAAAGCAGAGATACATTCCCCACCAAGACCTTCTCCAAACCTACTTCTTTTGCATTGTTCGCTGCTTCAAGAATTCCATGCCCTAAGCACGGGATCATCACATGGACTGCTGGTTGAAGGGACAATGTGGGTAGATGACAAATTCTTGCTCCCCACCTGTGCTTCTCTGGTTGATTCTTTACCCTGTTAAGCCTCCCATTCAAAAAACTCCTAAAAAACAAGCACTAATGGAGAGAAGAAGGTGTTCACAAAACAAACAGCCTCCACAAAGCTCTCTCCAAAAATGTCACTGCTTGTGCTGAGGATAACGGTAACACGCATCCTCTATTCATCCCTTAGAAATTCTGAAGGTTAGGAAGGAAGGATTTAGGGATGAAGTGTTACAACTGCTGTTGTGGGTTTTGTAGCTCAGCCAGCACCTCTTTGCCTACAGGCGATGCCCAGCATCCACCACCTCGCCAGATGCCAGCATGGTCCCCTCGGGTCCCCACGGCGCTACTGACCGCAGGGGCGTTCCCTCACACACCCACCTCCCCGACCGCAGGGCTACTCACGTTTGATGCACCTCTGGGAGCCCGTGGCCTTGCTCCAGCCATGGCAGCACTGCCCCCCGCACACATTGACCCTGCGGGAACAGCAAAGAGGGACGAGTGTCCGGCGGTGCACGCACGGTCAGTCCCGTTCCCCCCCCATCCCGAGCCGGGCGGCGGGGCGGGCACTGGCCTGGGGTGAGAAAAGGCGGGAAGAATTAAACCTTCCGATTAAACTCGACGCCTCAGCCCGGGCCCGGGCCCCACCGCGGACTCCTGGGACGGGGGTGAGCTGGTCCCGCGCCCGACCTCGGCTGCCGCGGGAAGGCGGCAAAGAAACGGGAGTGTGTTCCGCGCCCGCAGCGGGCTCGTCGCCAGCCAGGCACCGGCGGCGGGCAGGTAACGCCGCGGTGTCCCCCCCAAGGAGCCCTGCACGGGCTCCCCCCGTCCCCTACCCAAGGGGGCGACAGCGGCCGTGGCGAAGATGCTGGAGGTGTTCGAGAGGCTGCGGTCGCAGAGGAAGGGGGACGCGCGGGGCGGGAGGGCGCCTTACCCCGGCAGCGGCGGCAGCTGGTGCTTCTGGCGGAGGGGCAGGGCGGCGCTGCTGTTGCCGTGGGGGCCCGGCGGCGCCTTGGGCCGCGGGCCGAAGCGGGCCGGCTTGGCGAAGGAGGAGGCGTGAGCGGCGGAGTTGGGGTGGACCTGCCCGGCGGGGCCCACGCGGAGCTGGACGGCCGCGCCGCCCGGTTTGCTCATCCGCCGGGTCCGCTCCAGGGAACCGCCGGCGCCGTAGCGCGTGTTCAGCTGCACATTGAACGTGCGCTGCTGCTGCTGCTGCTCCCCCCCGAGGAGGGTCGGGCGCTGCTGCCGGCTGCCAGAGGAGCCCCCCCGGCCGGGCTGCAGGACGTACGTGATCCTCCTTAGCCTGCCCTTTTCGGAGGCTGCGAGCGCTGGTGACAAAAATGCACAGGCAGCCAGGGGCAGGAGAAGGAACCCCCATCTGATCCGAGCCATTTCCACGGCGGGAGCCCCTGCAGCCGGCGAGCTTCGCGGACTCGCCGTGCAAAGGTTTCCTCTCCGTGTGTGTGCGCGACCTGCGCCCGGGGCGCGGATCCCTCCTCCGGTCGCTGCCCCCCAACCTGCTCCGGGCGGGGAGAAAAAGGAAAAAAGCCTCAGGATCCTCCCGCCCGCCCCCCAAACTGTTTGGAAAGTTCAGCAAACACTTCGCCCCGTGGAGCAGGAAAACATCGTTGGAAGAAAGGAAGCGACGGGTGCGAGCCGAGCTGCGAGCCGGAGCGGGAAGGGAGGAGGAGCAGCAGGGGAAGGGTGTTTGCTGGAGGGGGGTGGTCGCAATGGAGAGCAGATGTCTCGGTTGCCGGAGCTGCCAGGGGTCTGCGCGCGTGTGGGAGAAACGGCCCCTAAGCCGGTGCGGGCGGCTCCAAAGCCCCGTCTTTAAGAGTTTCTCGGCGACTGAGCGTGTGCGGAGGGGAGGGGGCTGGGGGTGGGTGCCCCTGCCCCGGTGCCGGCCCCGCGCAGCCAATCTGGGGCCGCCGTGACGTCAGGCGGCGCTCCCGGGGCTGGGGAGGGGGCCGGGGCCGGGCCAGGTGACCGCGGGGCGCTGGGGGAGCGGCTGCGGGGGTCCCGGCTGCGAGTCTGCGCCGCTAAGCAAGCCTAAGAAATACCTGTTTTAACTTACAGGCGCCGACTTGCCGTCTGCCGGTGACACAGACGGCGCAGCTGTCCCGTGCGGTTGGGGTAGCGTACCTGTAGTTCTGCAATAGCTGAGCCTTTCTGTTCTAATTTACCGGAGACTCTAAACCCCCAAAAGCGTTTAGACGCATGCTTCACTGTCTAGGTAGGAACTCGATTAAAGCCCTCGCACACTAAAGGTAAGCACATTCCTCAGTCTCAGCTTGATGAAAGCCAGAGGCTGCCCTTAGCAGAAATCCTAGGAGGATTAGGAGAGACTAGATGCTTTCTTGGTTTTCTTTATGTTTGTAAAGCAGTATGTATTATTAAAGAACAAAATTGTACATGCAAACCACAATTGTACACTTGCAATTAATATATAATCAAAACTGCCCACGTTTTTCTCCAGTGTGTCGTAACCGATCTCACCCTTTAGCACTGTAAACAAACAAAAAAAACAAAGTTCACAAAATAACCCGAAGGTTACATCTTTTAAAAGACTCATAAGTTGATGTGTCCGAGTTCTTCCCAAGAAACTTTGTGGTAGATCAGTTTGCAAATCCAGTAGGTTGGAATTTCAGGTCCTCCTCCCCGGGTTCTCCTCTGCTCTTTTCCAAAGCTTTAAGGACACTGACCCTAGCTCCAAACTGATGAGATTTTGCTCTTACATGCTCTTGGCACAGCTACACAGCCGGCAAAGGGAGCAGGAGGGTTTTACATTGACAAGATTCCAGGCAAGAGCCAGCGTTAGGGAGCACAACAGTCCCTTCCTCCTTAGTTCTCATCTATTTAAAACTGCTCAAAAATAAATAGATGTTTTAAATAGATGAGAGTTTCGAGCTTGCTATAGTCACAGTGTAAGGGAGCCATATCTATGTTAAAGGCTTCTGCTCCTATGCCTCCAGCGGTCTGAACTGAAACCCAGTGTTCGAAAAGAATACCACAAGCACTTGGGGCTTCTAAATCCACAGTGGGTTAAATGAGAATGAAAATCTGTAGTGCTTCAGAGGAAAACTGAGATAAAGCCTGAAAGTTTCAGAGCCCAAATCTGAAGATAACTAAGAAGTTAATTGTGAGACCACTGCCTCCTCTCTTAGCAAACATACATCTGTTGTTTTTTTAACTTGGAAGACATTCTCAGCAAGTGAACTGTTCAGCCTTCCGAAGGCTAATTATTGTGAATCCCGAGCATGCTAAATGTTTTTACAGTATTTAGGGAACAAAAAAATACCTTGAAACCAGAGGAGGGTGGTGAGGACTAAGTAGAGAGAAATCGATGTGGTACTAGGGATTGTTGCTCTACACAAGGCTGCTGTCCCTCAGAAGTTTTCCAGAATGAGATCACAACTACGTGTGTGGCTTGATTTGTTGAACAGAGGGCAAAAACTGCATCATTCCACAGCAGAAGCCAGTTGCTTTTAAGAAATGTGGGGTTTAAGTCATGTCAAGCAGGGGGCAAATGCAGTGTATTACTGGCTACTGTACAGCAAATGGTAAGGAACCTCAAGGGAAATATACCCACAAAGGTAGATGCCTTGCATAGAATCACTGGAGTATAAAAACATTCTTGAAAAAATATTTAGTATTATATGAAATTAATTGGTTGAGGTCAAGCACTCCTCACACATTTACATGGCAGATCTGATTTTCAGTGTTCTCTTTTTTTCCTCTAGCAAGGAAATCCACTCTTCTCCATTTGTCTACTGTCTGATTTTGCTCCCTCCCTCTTTCCTGCTCCTCCTCCACAAGTCTGGAGAGTCTTGGATGTTAGGGACCAGGTCTGGTTGCAGTAATACGTTGGATCAGCCACAGAAGTTTTACCAGCAAAAAAAGAACTTCAGTGAACCACCACTGCAATCTAAAGCTCAGCTCAAAATTTCTTCATATGTAGAAGTTTCTGCTTCCAAAGGACAAAAAGGGCATCCAGCACCAAACAGCCAGATGCTGGCCTTTCAAATTAAGCCACATGGCTACCAAAATTACTGGGGATTCTTTAGTAAGGGTATGACTGCTGGTGGGAAACTTGCTCTGGCTGCCTCCCCCCTTCCTATGGAAAAGGCACTGACTTGAGTTAGCAGTGGCAAACAGGAATTAGTATCTCACATCACCTTTCAGGCACACCTGTCTCTTGAAGAAGAGTTGGGAAAGCAGTTTGCACTGTTTCTGTTCTTTCCCCTGTGGTTTGTGACTCAAGAATGAACTTAAGAAAACATAAAAGAAGTTCCTTAGTCTATAACCCATCCACCAGAGGGGCAGACCTCCAGGTGCTCTGCTCTAAGGGTGTAGCTGAGGCTGAGAAGGGCAGAACTGGATGGAAGAACTGGAATCACATATGAAGGAGGCAGAACTGCTGCCCGATGAGATGGCAGAAGTGCTTCAAGATTTAAAGGCTTAATGGGTAGAGGAGAAGCGAGTCTGAGAGTGTGAGTATCTACAACAAGAACCAAAATAGCATTATTCAAATCAAAACGAAAGGAAGAACTGAACTGCTCTGTACGTTTTTGTTGAAATCTCACGACTTTAAGGCCAGTCCCATTAGTTGAATGAGGAAGGACAATTGTTTTGAACTGTCGAAATTGTCAGCGCTCAGACCTCCATCGTTCTTGTCATCAAACAAGGGAGACAGGACTATGGCCCTATCTGATGGAGGATGTGTGTGGTGCACAGGCTTGCACCTTTGCTGGATGCTTGAGTGAAGATGTACGTTATGTTGAGGGTGAAGTCTTCTGAGCACGAGCGATCACTGAGCCAGCCTTATGCATCATAGTGCCACACTACCCCCCTGTGACTCCGTGTCCATGTTAGCCAGGCAGTAAGTTGAATGATCAGCAATGTGTTGAGCTACAGGACCAATAAGTGGCCCTAGTGGTCTTGTAGATCCACCAGGCAGCAAGCCTTAGCCTGTAAGGAAAGCTGGGTTGGAAGTTCACAGTTAACATTAGAATTTGGCAAGGCTGAACGCTGTGTTTAGCCTCAATTTAGGCTTTAGAAGAGAAATTTTACAGTACTGTAGCTCCACTAGCTTAAATAACAGTACTTGAAACTTCTTTTGAGCCAAAAGAAGAAAAGCAGTCTCTTAACTTATAATAAGATGAGAATCAGCTGGAGGCCTGTATTTGCTCTTCTCCTTTCCGGTACTATACAATTATCTGCAAAAAAGTCCTGTATTTTGCTGGCTAAATTATACCGTTGGCCATAGCTCTGTACAGGTAACATGACTCTAATTTAGAGGGTATTTCTTTTGAATAAAAGGGAACAGCTTATTCTCATTGTCATCAGAGTAGGGAAAAGAAGTAATTGGTATTTATTATGTCACTAAAGTATGTAGCACACACAATTCTGAATACATACATGGTTTGCAGAGTAAGACCATGTATTCATATAATTTCTACATGGTATTTTTCGAATAGAACTGTACCTTCCACCTTGGATAAACAACCATCTACCTCCCCCTCCTTGGATTTACTGAATTCAAGATGCATGAGTGCATCTTTATAGTGCCTTTCCCAGCACCTCCTCTGAAAAAAGTTACCATTTCCCAAAGCATTGCTCTTACAACTGCAGTCAAGTCTTTGCCACATTAGGCACTGAACACACACAAGCCAATAAATCATAGCAGCTTTTCCAACTGGGAGTCACACGGTCCTGAAGAAGACTAGATTTTCAAGGACAAAGGAAATTTTATGGTGAGCTTGGTCTGTGATATGATTTTCTATCTTGGAGCATCCTGTGTGGCAGTGGGTTTCTGAAGCACACAGATTAGCATGCAGACAGTCCAGAGCCTCAAATCTGGATGGGAAAACAGGCTAATGATAGTAGGGGTCAGGGTCATCAGTCCCTCTTAGACTTCTACCAAAAGAGAGTGTCCCTGGTGGTGCAGTGGCTAAACCACAGCGTTGTCAGCGCTGAGATCTGGGTTCGATTCCCGGTTAGGACACTCCCCGGGCAGATGGAGCTCGCTAGCCCTGTAAAGCAATCCATCTACGTCCTGAGGACCTCGCTGCCACCATCCAAGCGTGCTTGGCCCCGGCAGATGAACCTCAGGATTAAAGGGTGGGCTCAGTTCCGCGCACACTGTGTCTCACCTAAAAAATCCAATGCGCAGGCTGGAAGGTGGAAAGACCTTCCCCGGTTCTTCGTTCGCGAAGAGACATTACTACCAAAAGAGATCGTAATCAAGACTTTTTTTTTTTTTCATTAAGTCACACTGAAAGTTGGATCCATTTGGAAAAAGTCTGATGCTAGTCTGTCACTACTGACCAACACTATGTCCAGCAAAATACATGCTCAAGGCAAGTAGGAGTCAGCTTCTTTGTAAGTTACTGACATTACAGTCATAGTAAAAGAAATCGTATGGATTTGCATAGTCTTGAATTCCATTTTCCTGAACTGGCAGAAATATCTTCTAGAATATTTGGCAGTTTCTCAGTTATCCTCATATACGCAAAATAACTGAGTCAGAAATACAAGATTTTTTCCAAGATATGAAAATCTCCACATTGTGCTGTTGCAATTATTCTTCCCCTCAAGGAAATAAATATATCTGGCCTCGAAAACTATTAAAATACCCACTGAACTTTTTTACTATACCAATCCTTGTAATTGTTTGTTTCTTTGTGC